ATCTCCTGGAGGCAATTGGCTGGCAATTGAGATGCGATACCCTACGACTAGAAAGCCCTCTCGATCGTCACGATATTCAAATGGCATCAATTCCTCGAGAATTGCCATTCTATCTCCAGGAATACGAGGCTATTCACGAAAACGAAAGGGGGATGTATTGTATTGGCTTGTAGATATACACATTCACCCATTTTACAACCTCTCATCTTGATAAGTTACGAGATATGTGAAAATTCTTCAGTGGGGTGCCATTGATTTCCATGCAAATTTGTTCTGACAAAAGGAATGTAAGAAACATCAATAAAAAAATTATTTTACGGAATTGCTCACTTACCGCTGATAAAAACTCTTGATAAAACATTCAGTTCGCCAATAACGAAAAACCTAACTTACACAGAAAAAAACAGAACAGTTCACTGAAAAAACAATGTTTGACGCTCATCTGAATTTCAGATGTCAGACGGAAAAGAGACGCCTGGATCATCATAAATATCTCAAATTCACCAAATCGCGCTGATGCACCTTGTTCACAAACGGAGGTGTCTGAAAATAAGCCATCTTTGATTGATTCAAACACTTTCTTGCTGTTTGGAAAATGTCTACAAAACGCACTCCAAAGTATCTGAAAAATGTCTATAAAACAGTTTAAAATTCAAACATTGGTTTTTGCAGTATTCGCATAGTTCCTACGTTCGCAAAAAACATGAAAAAGTTTCGACCAGCATGACAATTTTTCTTCCATTCATCCCAAAGCAACGAGCGTTATCACAAATCCCTTAACCAACTATTATGACTTTTGAAAAAATTCTAGGATAGGATTTACCCACTGAGATAACCCGTCGGCTTGTCAACGCACGGTTGAAGTTTGCTCCCATAAATAAGTTGAAAAAGCAACAAAGGTTGATACACCAACGCAATAAAAATGAAACTAGGACGGGAGAAATAAGTTTAGCAGCCGATGTTTACCGGCCGGGGTGGCCACCCCCGCCCCCTCAACTCCCATGATACAAACCCTTCCAAGAGTCAGCACTTTGAAAAAAATAAATAAAATGCGTCGACACATTGCGCGTTATCGGACGTCGTTTGGGCGTAAAAATAATTTTTTTTCAGCGGATGTTTTACATAACCCCCAACCCCCTCCCCCTAAACACTAGTGAGTCCGGAGAGGAATATGGGGGGAAAGTTGGTGTAAGTGGGCGGAGGGGAGTAAACAAGAATAATAAACTGACTCACGGGCTTTTCGCGTATCGCATGGAGTTTGCGATATAAATTTGCGATAATGCATATGCTGGTGAGATTTTTTCCGACACGATCGTGTATCATGTGTGGCGTGAAATGGAGGTGGGGCTGGAAGGGGGTAGGCTATAGAGAACGAACGCCTGTGCACCCTCTCATCGTTTTCTGTAACACATACGCAATACCTCGAGCATCGAAGCTCGATCTTACGTTATTCTCTCACTCTTCTGCACCCCTTAAGACACATAGTGTTGGAAAAAAACCTCATACATCACACGCCACCTTCTTTATTAAACCCATATTTTTCAAAATAGAAACATCAAATTTGCGATCCATCTGACGATCACTTTTTATCCCTCCCCCATCCACCTTACAATTTCAAATATTTTTTTTAACGTCAACAGTATGAAAAAATATATTCTCCTCTGTGGCATTGAAGGTCGTGCGCCACCGAGTTCTTGTATTAAACGCGTTTATTATTAATGCCCACAGGTATGACCGTAAAAACTGCTGATGAAAAAGAAGGAGAAAAAAAAAAAACGCACACGCCAAGCCCCTCTTGGGTATTCTTGTGCCTTTGGTCGAGATTGACGGACTCTCATTCGACGAGCCAACCGGTCGATGTCAATGGATTATTCAGAATGAACGAGAGATTCTGAGAGGATGAATGGATGAAACGAAAATGCCAGGAACGATTTTTTTTCCCATAAATTATTAATGAAAAAAAATCAAACTGTTTACTCACCATGTTTATTGTCAATTCAGCCCTATTGTTTCGGCGTTTTTTCTTCGTCATCTCCCTCGCGAATTACTGGGTCCATCTGTGAGTCACTCATCCCTGAATATTTAATTCCACAAAGAATCTTATTTTTTTTTCTCTCTGCGACGAGCGCGGAGATAGTGAGGAGGGTTATGGTTTTGGATGGGCGATTGTCATTTGAAGAGGTAAAAAAATCCACCGACTCGAATGTTAAGGGTACAGCGGAAGAGCGGGGCTGAACGGGAAAGGAAATGAAATCAATTATTCATCCAAATTGGCCGGGAAAAAAAGTCCTAATTATCCCTGGCAAATACAAGCTTAATACGTAAAAGTGCACCCACCCCTTCCCCCTTCATTTCTCATGGCCTATCTGCTCCACCGTGAATAACCATTTGTATTTCCAATTAGGTTTGCTAATAAGAAGACGAAGGCATTGCTGTAGTTGAAAAAAAAAGGAATATGAAAAAACAGAAAGAAATGTATAACCTCATCCAGCCACTGGGGAAATAAAGAAAAGCGCCGCTCAGTATGACAATACCGACGGCTGGCCGGTGGGGTTATACCGGGTGGACTACAATTAAAAATCCTCGTTCACCCTCGCTTAACCTCCATCGAGTCCCCTCAACCCCCTTGGGCACCACCACTGTGGGTGCTCCTTATGTTGTATTAACAGTGAAATTGTGGGAGATACGACTGAAAGATGTTCCAAAACATTGCGCTGAGAATGGTCGTTTTTTCGGATGATTTTGTTCTTTTTTTTCTAGAATGTCGTTTGCATTACACCATTGAAAGTCCTATGATTATAGTCCTGTATTTTTTACATGGGTTATTTTCTATTAAATTTCAATTATTATGTGACTCGAGAATTCAACTAATTTTGTGTCTTATTCGAATAATTTAGCGTTTCTTTGGAATATAGAATTTTTATTTTTTTATTCATTATTTATAGTGATGGAACTCTTATGCCGAGTTATTTACACTGTCGTTATACAGGATATATATTTACACAACTTACTATTTATACAACATATTTATACTTGCAATTTAGATTCTTTTAGGTATTTAAACATATCTTCGATATATTTGTGGTTACCTCAATCTAAGAACGTTTTTGTAGTATAGGGAGGAGAGCAACTAGATTTTTTCAGTCTGCCTAACAATTTGATTCTCTCACGTTCAAATTTTGGGCATTGCCATAATACGTGCTCGAAGTCTTGGTTTTCTGCTCCACATGAGCAACTTTTGTTATCGATTATACCAATCCTTTTCAAGGAGGTAGAATTTATTTATTTAGTCCTTTTTTTAAAAAAAACGAGTGGAAGAGAGGGAGATCGAAAACAATACTCTGACACTGGTAGATTTTTTTGTTTTTTTTTCATATAATTTTGTTCAGTTTTCTATTACGTCATTTGCACTCCACCATCGAAAGTCCTGTGACTATGCTGCTGTATTTTTTATACAAATTATATTCTACTAGACCGACGGTAATGGTTAGATGAGTTAGGTGTTGCTCCGGCGGACGAGTGCAGCTGCGTTTAGCGCGGTTAGTACTTGGATGGGTGACCACTTAGGAACACCCTCGCCCAAGAATTTCGTAAGGTAGGCACGATGTAGTGGTCTAATGTGTCCCTCTAGTCAGTGGGACGGAAGGGCACATTAGGGCTCTGCACAATCGGCTGTACGACTGGGGTTTTCCATGGTTTCCCGTGCTGTCCTAGCCCGAATGGGGTACAGTTAAGAATAAAAATCAGAAGAGAGAAGTGGGAGAGGCAAGGCAGACGAATGGGGAGCCTATAAAACCGTAATGGTAGTAGGACAGAAAATATGAATTAAAAAAATTTATATATTCTACTAAATTTTAATTATTATGTGACTCAAGAATTTGGGAATTCAACTGATTTTTAGTTCTTTTCGAGTAATTTAGAGTTTCTTTGAAATGTGGAATTTATTTATTCTTTTTTTTTAGAAACGAGCGAAAGGGAGAGATAGAGAGGACATTACTCTAACAATGGTAAATTTTTTTGATTTTTTTTTTCAAATAATTTTGCTCACTTTTTCCTACTGTGTAATTTGCACTCCACCATTGAAAATCCTGTGATTATGCTCCTGTTTTTTTTATACGGATTATTTTCTATGAAATTTCAATTATTATCTGACTGGAGAATCAGGAAATTTCACAGATTTCGGGTTTAGCTCAAATTATTTAGAGTTTCTTTGAAATTTAGCATTTATTTACTCTTTTTTTTTTGTTCAAGAAAAGAGTGGACCAAAGATAGGCGAAATCACAATACAGAATTAAAATTATTTTATTACATTTAAAATCAAGGAATCGTATGGTACAATTAGATAATTGAAAAATCAAATTCAGATATTTGGAATTAATGGTTTAATCATAAATGAGAATTGAAAATTATTTTTAAATTTAAATAAAAAAGTAAGGACCTGTGATTAATCTATGGTAAATTTCTTTTAAAATTACTCAGTAACAATTTTTGCCGATCCCAGGAGTGGAAGAGAGAGATAGAAAAAACATTACTCTGACAATGGTGTTTTTAAAAAAAAATTTTCAGATAATTTCGTTCTTTTTGTTCAATACGTGATTTTCATTCCACCATTGAAAGTCCTGTTTTTTATACCGATCATTTTCTACTAAATTTTAATTATTATCCGACTCGAGAATTAGGGAATTCAACTGATTTTTAATTTTATTCAAATGATGTAGAGTTTCTCTGAAATTTAGAATTATTTTATTCATTTTTTTTTGGTTGAAGAAAAGAGAGGAAGAGAGAGATGGAGAGAAAGAGAGCAATTTCCGTGGAGTTTAAGGAGAATATTCGGTAGAGGATTGAGTATTGTGTCGCCAAGGTTAACACGTGTCGATCCCGTGGGTAAGAGTACAGTCTAGTTGTTTACAGGATTGTGTTTGGGAAGTAAAGTTTTCATGTGATTCGGGATAGACAGAGGACGAACTCCACAATGTCAATGCCATAGGGATCGGTGTGGATATCGTTTCCTATTCAGTATCGATTCACTGGTGATTGAGTGCTCACACCAGAGCACGTTGCCACTGACCTCTCGCCCCGAGAATAAACAGTTTGGGCAGCAGAACGTACGGTCTTATTGTGGCTGCTTAGACATTTTTGGGGAGATAAAAATTGGAGAATAGGAAGTGGGCGCTTGTGTTGACGGAAGTTGGCAAGGCGTATCATGCGTGTAAAGAATTCACCCAAGCGAACAGTGAGAATGAAGAATGCTAAACAAATCGCCGATGACGTCATGAGGGATTCTGGGAAAGACAGGTCATCGTCGCGAGAGAATTTGTCAAAACCTTGTGAAGAAACGTCTTCGCAACTGAATCAGGTAGGAATTTCTTACGATTAATTACGAAAGTTATTTAATAATTGACTTGAGGGGAGACTACTATGAGTTTTAAAAGTCGCGGGCGATTGGAGTAAGATTTCCCATGAGTTGAAGATCGATTATATATATATATATAT